TTCGTTTCATTAAAATCGACATTTAAAACTTTAAGTCTATACTGACACATTAATTGTATTAGGAGATAGGGGACTAGGGGGAGAGATAAAAGGTGAGATGTGAGAGGTGACAAAGAGAAAGTGTGTCGGAATAGCATAATAAGAGAGAGAGGGAGAAAGATTAATTGACCAAAAATCCACAAACCACTGCCCAAGTCGAATGGTTTAGCTGTTCAACCGCTCGGGTGAGTGGTTGTTTGACAAAGTTAATGTTTTTTCATAAAAAGTGGTCCAACCCAAAATCGGACACAAAAGTATGACCGATTCCTAGATCTAACGATCTGATCATCCAATCCAATCCGGTTTTTAAAACAATGGTTTTTGGGTTAGCTTTTCTATTGGTTTATAAGTAGTTTTTGCCCAATCTCAAGATGTTTGATAAGGTCTCATCTGAAATATACATTTCAAAAGGTCAGCTAAATTTTAAAAATTGATTTCTAAGATTATGAGCATCACATATTTGAGTGCTCAATTTTTTAAGGCATAATTGATAAGAAGGCTTCGAATAACATTACAAGGCACCAACTAGCTAGTTGGTAAGGTCACTTGGTGGTTGTAGCTAAGAAACTTGGAATCAAATCCCACCTGCACCTGGATTAGGGGGTTATGGGTTTAAGGGATGGGCCACCCATTTTGTGAGGCCCGTTGTCAACACCCAATTTTTGCTCGGTCCCCTCTCTAACCCACTTTTCACATTCCAAATGCCTGATCAAACCTCACCAACTTCCTCAAAACATGTCAAAACCCCAATAAACCAAATTTAACTCAAATACCCTCAAATTCACCGTTAAATCCATAAGATTCCCTTTTGATGGTCCCGATTATGCCACATCACCATACCTGTTACCCGATCAGGCCACATTACATGAAACCAAACCTTCAAACAACCAATCACGCCAAATTTCAGCTATAAATTCTTTGATTTTGCCATTCATCCAAAAAGATTCTGAATGAACCACTCGCATCACTCGATACTAGCCAAACTCAAGATCTACACTATGAAACACCATTCCCCATCATTAAACCTCATTTAAACCTTTGTCAACCCCTTGATCGACGATCTGTTCAATTTTGGACCTTAAAATGACAATTTTACCCTTCATCTAGAAAGATTCCGCATCAACCACACGATATCCTCCAAAATCAAGATTTGCACTATAAAACACCACCAAACCTCATCCAAACCCTTATTAACCCCCTGATCGACAACCCATCCGAATTTGAACCTCAAAATGACAATTTTACCCTTCATCCAGAAAGATTCTGAATGAACCACTCACATTGCCCGATACTCGCCAAACTTAAGATTTATACTATGAAACACCATTCCCCACCATCAAACCTCGACTAAACCTTTGTCAACCCCTTAATTGACGATCCCGTCCAATTTTAGACCTTAAAATGATGATTTTACCCTTCATCTAGAAAGACTCCGAATCAACCACACGATATCCTCCAAAATCAAGATTTACACTATGAAACACCACCAAACCTCATCCAAACCCTTATTAACCCCCGATCAACGATCCGTCCAATTTTGAACGTCAAAATGACAATTTTACCCTTTATCCAAAAAGATTCCAAATGAACCACCTACATCGCCCGATATCCGCCAAATTCAAGATCTACATTATGAAACACCATGCCCCACCATCAAACCTCATCTAAACCTTTGTCAACCCCCTGATCAATGATCCATCCGATTTTGGACCTTAAAATGATGATTTTACCCTTCATCTAGAAAGACTCCGAATCAATCGCACAATATCCTTCGAAATCAAGATTTGCACTATGAAACACCACCAAACCTCGTCCAAACCCTTATCAACCCCCCGATCGATGATCCTTTCAATTTTGAACCTCAAAATGATAATTTTACCCTTCGTCCAAAAAGATTCCGAATTAACCACTCACATCGCCCAATACCCGCCAAACTCAAGATCCACATTATGAAACACCATTCCCCACCATCAAACCTCATCTAAACCTTTTTGAACCCCCTGATCTACATTACCCTTCATCTAGAAGGACTCTAAATCAACAACCCCTATCACTTGATACTTTCCGAATTCAAGATTGGCACTACAAAACACCATTAGACCTTATCCAAACCTTTATCAGCCTCTCGATTGACGATCAGTTCGACTTTGAACCTTGAAATGACCATTTTACCCTCCATCTGAGAAAAACGTCACTGATCGTCACCGCCAAACCCAGTTAAACCCATTGTCATCTTTTAATCGGTGGTTTGGAAAACACAGGCCATAAAATGCCTGTTTCACCCTTCCATCAAGGACGTTTCTGCGATCTCACCTATCGGGTTAAATCCGAAACGTCTAGTCGTTTACACCCCTCTCAAGTTTTCAAGAACCCCCTTGATGCTTGTCACCTACCTAGCCATTGGATCTCTCTAAAAACTCCCAAATTCAATCAAGGACGTCCATGTCCTTCCTTGGCTTTTGACAATTATAGCCTAGTCCCTGCTTGTAATCTTGTTTGAAAATATTTGCAGGGAGGTCCTTGCCAACCATAGATTGCTTGCTTACCTTTTGGCAAGATCTAGGTGCCCTTACCATTTTTGGAAGAGCTCTGTTTGCTTCCTAAAAAAGGCATGCAGCTTTTCCTTTTAAGCAAAGCCAGGTACAAAGAAGGTATGTTTCTTGTTCTTTAAGAAATATGGAGATTTTTTGGAAAAGAAAGGAAAGAAGATCCATTTGTATGAGATCAATATGGGGGGGGGTTCCTAAATAGCCCAAAGGGTCTCTAGGTGCTCACCCTCCTCCTTTGAATCCATCATAGGTAGCTCCCAATGAGTTGCTTTTTCTTGACCAAAATTAAAAGTCCACTTCATTAAAAAGGGCTATGGTCTCTCTCTACTTCTCTCTTTCCCAAGATTCGACCCTCACACATCTTCACCCAAAGGTTCTTCACTCCATTGACTCTCTCCCAGCCTTAAACACCACTCATCTTCAACTGAAGACTCTTCTCTACATTCACTCTTCCCATCACCGAACCACCTTCTCCTACCCATCTCCCTATTCTAATCTTCTTCTTCCTCTACACCTCTCTCTCAAGCTCCCTCCATCTTTCTCGTTATATTCCTCCTTTATATTTCTAAGGTCAACCTATCTCAGTCCATCATATTCGTCTAAGAAGGAAGAGGGGAAGTCCTATTTCGGTCCACCCATCAAAGCCTTTACATAACATTCCCAATAGTCCTAGAGAAAAGCCACAAGTGAGGTAACTTTTCAATAGAATTTACAACTTCTTTTCTTTTCACTTTTTATTTTCTTTATTTTCTTTATTTTTTGTTTTTTTGGCCAATAGAAAAATTTCAATTGGTTAGTTTGTTTGAACATGAATGAATATGCAGATTTTTTTTCTTTATATTATTTTGGTCTCTTTTTCGAACTTTTCTCATTGAAAATATCTGCGTTTTTATTTGACTTTTGTTACTTTCATCTTACTTTTATAGTTAATTTTGTTTAAGAATGAATGAGGATGTTATGTATGAATTCGGTCCTCTTATTATTGACTAGTCATTTATGTTTTTCTTTTTGTATAAACTAACGCATGCATCCTATTTGGATTAGGGGATTATGAATTTGACTTAGAGGGAAGTTCATGGTGGGTTGTATCATTCATGGCTTCATCATCTCTCTCCTTCGAGTAGAAGTGTGGGAGGCCTTGGATAAAAAGGGGGTAGAATGTGTAGACACTTTGCCCCTTTGCTCCTTAAGGGCTTCCCACACGTGGGAAGAGGGAAAGAGAAGATCAAGCCATGTAAGATAGCATTCTCTTTATGACAAACCCTCATTGAATTGGAGGAAGCCATTTAACTTTTCATTAAGAATGTTTTTTTTTTTTTTTTTTTTTTTTTTTTTTTTTTATCTTGATTGGCATTCACAAGATAAGAAAGGGAGAGGGGTGCCTAACACCTTCTCTCTCCTTCCCTTTGGTGCCTAAAGTCTTTGTTATAGGGATTGGGAGTCATTTTTCTCAAAACAAGGGAGGCCCATCACTCCCTTGTTCAAATGGTTGATGGGTGGCGGCTCCTCTCATGGCCATTAAGTGATGCTCGATTCAAACGGGATGTTCACACCCGTGAAGCCAAAAAAAAAACAGAAAAAAGAAAATGCAATTCTTCTATTTCAAATGTTATTCAAATAAACATACCCTCAAAAAGATTGAGGGTATAAGCTAAAACCTAAGTCAAATAACAATTCAATTAGTCTAATTGGTCTCTGGGCAAGCAATGGTTCAATTAGCACAATAAATTAAAAATATTAGTATAAACTATAGAATAAGTTGAAAGGCAATAAATTATCAATACATATATAATTCATTTGACATTGCCACATAGGCCTCATTCCTTTATAGGTAAATATGCATGGTAAAGTTGGTCAATGGGTAACTTTTTCCTATTAACCAACTTTTTTATGTTCTTTTTGCATTAAGCAATAGGCCCCACAGTAAATTTATCTTTACTTTCCTAGGTAAAACTTATCCATCTCAAGTGGTAGCTTTACTACTTAAAAATTTTCACAAAACCTGATGAGACCATTTTACATATTTTAAGAGTTACTTTTGATGGATAGAGATATAATTTTATTATTCACCTGAAAATCTTAAAAATCAAAAGAAAAGGTAAGCTGCACTGTTTACAAACGAACGGGGCCGCAGAAAGAAGTGGATATTTACTGCTTACAAAAAAAAAGAAGTGCATATTTACTCGTTACCGAAAACTTAAAAAAACTTGAACTTTTTTGGCGCAAGCCCAGCCCGTGTACCAGGTTGGTTCAGGCTCGGGTTGGGCCTGTTACACTAACTCAAAATCGCATGATTCCCTCTGTTCTCAGCCCTTACTTACGTCAGATGGGAATCTACTTTAACTCACCAAAAGCCGGATCGCAGGGTTGGTTTAGTGCGCAGTACGCTCTCGGCGCATTTTGTCTATCAATAATCGCCGTAGGTGTTCATTTGCTCTCCAAAGTCCTAATCGCAGGATTCTTTCTGCCTTCTGACCTGGTTCAGACGCTCGACCGCTGTAAACGAGAGAAAGCCCCAAATTCGTGGAAGAAGAAGAAGAAGAAGAAGCTGATCAACAATGGCGATGGCTGCGTTGAGACGAGAAGGGAGGCGTTTCCTGCCACTGATGTCTTCCAACTCCATTAATGCCGCTCGATCTTCGATTGTTTCTGAGTAAGCTAACCCTAAGCCATTTCATATCGTCCCAATTTGTCAATGTCGATAATATATATATGTATACATCCTTTTTTATGGCTTCAGTTTTCCTAACACTGCTTTTCCCATTTTGATCTCATTTTCGTTCCCTTGTGTTTTCTTATTTTTCCTTCCTTGGATACAGAGAAAATAATGTTCATTAGGAGATTTCTTTCTTTTCTTTTTTTTTTTTTTGTTTTTCGGACACCAATTAGGGGTTTGGACATTGGTGGAGGTGGGATATTTGCCCGCGTTTTCTTAAAGAGAATATTTGGAAAAAATTATCACGATTTGAACTCAAAATAACGTGGTAATCATGTTAAGATCTTTGATGGTTTATAGTTTAGAAGAAAAGAACAAAAAATTAGTCTTGAACGGGCGTCCAACTTGTAAAGTTCACTGATCGGGGGTAAAACTAAATCAAAGAATTCTAAGTTCAACTGGTAAATGTTCTTTAGTCCGCCTCTCAAGGGGGAAGGGGGCGGGGACGGTTGAAGAGCTCCATAAATAACCAGTTTGTCATGCAATTAATGTTAAGAGATGGTTTTCAGTTTTGCACTGATTATTCTAAAGGTATATACTGAGGATTAATCACTGAAGCTGATGATTCCTGTTCCTTGTCCTATAATATATCCACATACTGCTTTGATCTCATAAAAATTGCGTTAAAAGATAGTCTATCCACAGACAATTTTGGGACTTCGGTGGAGTTTTTAATGATTTATAGCTGCTTATTTTAATTGAGACTGTGTTGGATGCAGATTACCATTTGCCTTCTTTAACTACTTCCTCCAAGTATTAGTGCCTCTATTTATTGTTTAGTCAATTAATTGAATATTGGAATGTGCAGAGATTTGGCCCCTCAGGGTGCACGTGCTATTTCGACTCAAGTAGGTAGGAATCATTATCTTGCTTCATTTCTCTTTGCAAGATAGGGTGACTTTTATTAAGTAAAACTTGACAACTAAACTAGTTAATTTATGGTTCTCTTTTTTCCTCATGCAGTTAGGAATCGGATGAAGAGTGTAAAAAATATTCAGAAAATCACAAAGGCAATGAAAATGGTGGCAGCTTCAAAGCTACGAGCAATTCAAGTTAGAGCTGAAAATTCACGTGGCCTATGGCAGCCATTTACGGCACTTCTTGGGGATACTCCTAGTATGTTTATTAAATATTAACCTTCATTATACATTTTCTATTGTCAAGTTTGCTTATTCCATTTTTTTATGGAATCTGAGAACATGTGGTTACTTTACACATTTCCTTAAAAATGTTTTTTTTTTTTTTTTATTTCTTAATTCTTCAAAGTTCTGCATCATTTTTAATGCTATTCCTTTCTTTACTTGTCTAATCTCTCCCATACTATTGGAACATCTCGTTCTTTTGCCCTGGGTCTGGTGGTTGAAGTCTCTCTCTAAATAACAATTGAAAACATTTTTCAAGAGAAAGAAATGGGTGTTCTGAAGTTTATACTCCAGAAAAGGGGTTTTGGTGAATGCTATATTAAATGAGGATCCATTGTAGAGCTTAAATAAGACATCCTTTTTGACTTACAACTAGGAACAAGACAAATGCTACTTAACTACTAGAATAACTTTGCATTGCTAAAATAACTCTATATCCAATTAGGAAAACAAAATCTTACATCCATCAGAAAATTACTGATGACTCTAATAATTTGAAAATAGCTACTGAAAAATTGTAACAATACCTTTACCATCTAAAAGCGCCAAAAATACTTAAAATTTAAAATATCAAAGATCTGACTTGTTAGCTCTTGCATCAGTTTGTGTCCTTTATGGCAATAAGAATGGTAGAGTTGAAAATTTAGTTCTTCCTTTAGATGGAATGATTTTTGAGGCCCGGAATTTGGGGATGCTTGCAGTAGAATGCAATTTGTTCAGTGCCTGGGCATCCTAGAAATGGAAGTGTTATGAAAGATTTTCTCATATTATAAAAGAATAATATTGCTTCTAGTACAAGCAATTCATTCTATTTAATTCCAACTTCCGAACATGGTAATGGTTATGCTAAACTTTGAGGATTTAAATTTTGACTTTGGAGCAGTTTTTTACCTGGGTCAAACTGAAATTTTGACTTGAAGTTTGGCAATAAAGCAAACTTCGAACAAAATTTTGAAAAAGTTAAAGCATTCGTACTAAAAGAATAATTCTATTTCTTCCTTATCATCTTTATTTTCTTTTATTTTTCATTTGATCTTGTCTTTCCTTTTCTATTTTCTAGTTCTTCTATTTACCTATAGTAGTGCTTTGAACTGAAAGTATTTGGATGGATGGATGTGTTCATGCATCTCTACATGTTCTTTCTCGCCTACACACTGTATTTTGTTCTTTCTCTCCTCCAAGGCTGATTGACTCTCCCTTTTTCTCTATAATAAAATTGATTACTCATTCATAAAAAAAAAATGCTAGGTGTTGATGTCAAGAAGAATGTTATTGTTACTATTTCATCTGACAAGGGTCTTTGTGGCGGAATTAATTCTACATCAGTCAAGGTCAGCAAGTCGCTTTACAAGTGGACTTCTGGTAGGATATGAAAACACAGACAATTATTGTTTATTTTTTGTAATGTCAGCAATGATAAGCAAACCGTTGTAAACTTACCTTTTGATCAACTGACATCAGGTCCTGATAAGGAAACTAAATATGTCATTTTGGGGGAAAAGGCAAAAGCACAGCTTGTACGTGACTCAAAGAAAGATATTGAGATATCCATAACTGAATTGCAGAAGAATCCATTAAACTATACCCAGGTTATTCTGATTTCATCTTTTCTTCTATCTCTCTCTTTTTCTTTCTTTCTTTCTCTTTTCACAAAATCCTTGAATCTTTTGTGTTTCAATGATAAAACACTACAATGAAACATAAGTAATATAAATGATAGGATGTATCAGTCTATGAGCACAAAAACTGATAACTTGGACCCGTTGTAATAAATATTACAATAAAGTGCATCTCATGTAACTTTTTCGCACCTAGCCGGGTGTTGTTTCTTAGGCAGGTTCTTGGTGCCAGATGATCATCATGTAAAGAATAGTGCAGGTGGAAGGGGAATACTAGTGCTGGGTATGGATTGCGTGAACCTTTGGGGCAATGTCTGGGATGGATGTGATGTGCTTGTTCTGTGCATCATCTGTTTTCTGTTTTTGATAAGTCTATGCATCAGCGATATCATCTAGATGTTGAAAGTGAGGAGGAAGAAGCACAAGACTTAAAATGCTTAAAGGGATGAACTAATGGTACTAATGCAAGGCTTAAAACTTGTGGTTCTAAATAATTGGATGAACATTACTGTAGAGGGAGACTGCCAAGTAGTAATTTCATGGGTGTTTTCTGAAGATGTTCCTTGGTGTGTCAGACTTTCAGTAACAGAAGCTCAAGCAGCAGAAACAAATCTGAACTGCTTGTTCAGGTGGATTCCAAGGTCTGCAGATGAACTAGCAGGTTCTCTAGCAAAATCTGGGGTATGAAGGCAAAACTTAGTTTGGGGGTGTCCAAGACCTGGGAGCTGAGAATGAATTGTAATTGGTACTGCTGGAAAAAGAGAACAATTGTTGAGTCAGCTTTAAGCTGTTTTGTATTTTCTCTTCTTATCTTTTGGATAGAAAGATTTTCTGATAATGAATATACTTTATTCTGTTGACAATAAAAAAAAAAGTGATGAGAAAAAGATATAGAGGTCTTTTTGATAATGCCTCAGTAAGGTAGGCCCATACATAGTTTTCAAGGCACCAAGGTGCTAGGCAATAGTGGGTGCCTTGTCACCTAGTTGCCTAGGCACCCTCCTAGATGTCACCTAGGCAATGTAATTTTTTACATAGGAACCCTGATTCCTAGGGTAATTTCCTAGGTTCCATGGTAACTAGCAACCATCTTTCATTGATAATTATCTTTAAATGATAAAAGAGTATACAGTTCATGTTAAAACATATAAGATCAACATAGTTGATTTTGTGGAAGAGAGAAAAAGGTAGATCTGTGGGTGATTTGATCTCTCATATATCTTACTTGTGTAACTTGTGGTGCTGAATTTTACAGAGTTCAATGGGATTTCTTTGAATAATCTACAGCTGAATGTAGTGGAGATCTTGTTTTCTTCCCCCATCCCTCGAAGATTTCCCAAACTCCTAGATAGGGAAATCCTGACATAGCTGGAATTGGATGTGTGTTAAGAAGAAGAGATGGAAGCATTCGGTGGGCTTTCAGTGGACCCATTGGGCTTACTGATTCCACAAAGCTGAGGTTCTAGCTGCTCTTATTGGGCTTCATATGGCAAAGGTACATGGATTGTTTAGTCTAGCTATCAAAGGAGATTCTGTCAACACCATAAACTATCTAGGAGAGAAAGATAGTGGTCCTTGGAGGCTTGCTCACTTTCTGATGGAGGCAAGAGATATCTTGAGTTCCATGACTGTGAAGCTCATCTGGATTCCTAGGGAATTTAACCATTTAGCTGATAGTTGGGCCAAAAGTGGCATTGTTAGGGAAATTTTTTACAGTGACAGAAACCTGTCTTTGTAATTTCTGTTTTGGGTTTCCTCTTGCACCTCACCTCATGAACCTTTCTTTTGTTTCTTAATAATTTCAGTTACTCTTTCTCTCAAACATCAACATAGTTATGAGAAGAAAAATAAAAAAGAAAAGAAAATTCAGAAAATGTAGAACTGAGCTGCTACTTTTTTTAGGAAAAGGAAAAAAAGGTGGATGAAGAATGTGCTGCTGATGATAAAGATAATGAATGTGTTTATTGGATAGACTTTTAAGTTCTTAGTTCTTACTTGCTTATTGGTTCAGGTTTTGAAGTCTTTGAGGGTTCAAGACAGCATACACTAACATATGTGTTGATTGAACCCTGAAAAACAAGAAAATAATAAAAAGAAACTAGTATATAAACCCACAAAGTACAAGTTTTAGTTTAATAATATCTATTTAATTATTATAATATAAAAAAACAAAGAATATGAGTGTTTCATAGTAGCATGTACAAAATAGGTAGGTGATTAGGTGCGGTGACCATCCGTAGGTGCCTTGTCACCTAGGCATCGCCTTGACAACTATGGGCCTATGGAAGGTAGCTGGTGTCATTTGGGGCTTTTGTTTTAATTAATTTTTCTGGGTAGCGCCATGTTTTTTTTTTTATGCTATTATTATCAGTATTTTCTGAGTGTGGTGCATCATATATCTGGCGCTTTTTACTTGTTGGAGGTTTGGAGCTTTAGTTTTGGTCTGGTTGGGGTCTCTTTTGTGTGCTTTGATCTGGTGATGCCTAGGTCGTTTATGTGGGTTTGTGATTTTTTGTCTTTTGGTTGCCTATAGTTAAGTTATATTATTGTATCCACAAATCATTTGTTTTTGTTCTCTTAGTCAGTCTCTACTCATATACCTGTTGTACATGTTGTACATACTGCTCTTGGTCCTGGTAACACATTTCCTCTTTGCCATGAAGATAAACAAACAAGCTTTTGGTTATGAGATTATTCAGAAGGCGGGCACCTATCATCACATGTTCAGAGAAGATGACAGGATGGGTAGATGCTTTCCTCTCATGATCAATAACGGAAAATTTTCATGATAGGAAATCATCTACCTTAGTCTGGATTCATTTTCTGATTTCATTTAGGGACAAAGTGGTTCTGCCTGTACGAGATGTTTGAGGCTATAAGAAGCAATCATGTTAACCTCAGAATCAGAACATCAAATTTTATATTGAGATGTTCTTTTTGTTTTTTAATCAGCATGTTGAGATGTTCTTTTATCATTGACAAAATAACAGCCTCTTTAACTTTGAATTTGTACATACCACCATTCAACTGGTTGTACAGGAGCGTACTATATGCATATATAGGAGTACATTACACTACCTTTTCAAGAAAACAAAAAAAAAAGAACCTTATAGTTTCATATTGGATTTCTATTGTAGATATGCCCATAGAAATATTTATGGGGTTATATTTTTGGGTATCACTTTGACATAGCCAGATCCAATTTTCTAAGTGGATGGATATTCATTTTTGGGATCCTTCTGAACTGCTTATTAGCAAGCTTAATTTGAACAAGTGCTTGTTTAGGCTGGTTCTATCTTTGTTGGAGGCCAGCTAGCTGATTGCCATCTCGTATTCATCTATTCTTTTAAATTTTGGTATACTTTATTTCACTCCTCTTTTGCAAAAAAAAAAAAAAAGAACCACACACAAAAAAAAAAAAAACCGCTCAGCCTAAATGACCCAGGAGGCTGCCCTCCCTCCTACATCAGCTAAACAAATAGAAGAGAATACATATTTTGTCCTCACTTGTAAGCCTGAACTTTCGCTATGACCCGTGGCAGCCAGACAATCAGGAGCTTGGTTGCTTCCCAAAATACATGCTTATATTGAATGTTTAGTCTCCAAGATTCGCGGATGTAGTAGCACTCTTTGATGATAGCATTGATACTCCACCAAATAGCATCCCGATCCCTAAGACAGTCGATTACCAGCTTTGAAACCCCCTTCAATGATAATGTTAAAATTTCTATACAATTTGCGTCCTCGCGAGCTTCTAAGGCAGTCCATGCTTCTGCTGTGTTAATGGAGCATTGACCCACTGGCTTGCTTCTGTATATTAGAACTTCTTCTTTGTCATTCCACTTTGACATTTTTCTAGGTAGCTACTTTTTATTGTGTTCAATGTTCAAACTCAAAGAATGGGTGAACCAAGCTTTTGGTCATAGATTACTAATTCTGGCTGTAGAATCAGTGAAGTACACCTTAAATTATGGTTGATAAATATCAAAGCTTATAAGAAATAGTCAGATTCTTCAACAAAGACATCTTTCACGTGCATTATCAAAAATTTATGAATTGAAAAAGTGACAATCATTTATCTCTAAATGAATTGTTAATCCAAGTAACTACTCTCTTCCCTGTCCCAAATGCACATGCACACTCAACAGGCTTTGTGAATAATTCAGGTTCTTGTTCTTCTAGGTTTCAGTTCTTGCTGATGACATTTTGAAGAATGTTGAGTATGATGCTTTGAGGATTGTCTTCAACAAGTTCCATTCGGTTGTCTCTTTTATGCCAACTTTAGCAACTGTATTGTCTCCCGAGGTGACTAGTTTATTGTTACTTATCTTTTTGTTTTTTGATAAATGTTTATTGTTACTTATCTTGTTTGCTTAGAAAAGTGTGTTTTCAATTTCCTGGATACTTTCTGAACTTTGTTTTGTTTGGGTCAGGTTGTGGAGAGAGAGGCTGAAGCTGGGGGGAAGCTTGGTGACCTGGACAATTATGAAATTGAAGGTGGTGAGACAAAAGGCGAAATTCTTCAGAATCTTGCAGAGTTTCAGTTTTCGTGCGTATGTACTCTCCCTCTGGAAAGTAGGACATTATTACTCTTTTGTTTCCTTTTCTTTCCTGGCAGTAGGTAGGGTCAAACCTTATTGGCCTTGAAATGCAACACTTGTTACAACTTATAAGGTAACACTGTAGCAATTTCTTATTTCTGGTGTGGTTATTGCATGTGTTAAAATAGTTTATGTTGTAGAAATCTATTTTTCTATACAGTTTGTGCTGCTCAAAACATAATTGGGATTTGGCTGTATTTAGAAGCAGAAAAAGATTAGGTGTGCAGCCCTCCCTCTGAAGTTCATATTCTAGTACCTTTTAACCTTTATTGTGTTAAGCAATTGGGTGCTGCCAGAACTGTGGTGTCATGCAATTGATGCTGCTGAAAGTCATCTTGAGAAACATTGAGATGCTGTGGAAGCTATAGATGCCAATCACCCCCTCTTTGATGTGTGCATGGTTTAAAATGCCCCTTAATTTCCTTATATTTTCACATGTTTCCATTTCCATGGGTAGTAACATGAAATTTTACTGGAATAACATATTCCCTAGTGAACGCTACCAGTACTATGCATAGTGCAAGAGATAGTATTATAATATAAACTGGTGACAATATTGTAGATATGTTTCCTCTCCCTCCCCTGTGGTTCAAGAAAGTTGGGTACCACCGCCTCAGTTCAGGATGATGTTAATCTTTGATGGAAGCTCCTTGGGTAATCCAGGTCAGTCGGGAGTTGGGGGTGTATTCAGAAATGAGGAAGGAAAAGTCTTGGCCCTTTACTTGGGCCTGATTGGGATGGGAGATTCCTTGAGGGCAGAAGTCATGGCCTTACTTCAAGGCCTGAGATTGGCGAAACAATGGGGAATGCAGCAATTAGAAGTGGAAGGAGACTCCAAGCTGGTAATAGGGTGGATGCAATCTGGAAACTTGTGAGTTTGGTCACTTAGGCAGCCTCTAAGAGAGATTATTAGCTTAGATAGGGAGATTGGGTTGCAATTTAAATGGGTAAGAATGTCAGCAAGGAATGGCTGACATGTTAGCTAAGCTAGGAGTTACTAGGGAGTCTTTGTTTTGGGCTTGTTTGGAAGGTTTTGTTTTTTTTATATTCCATCCATCTTGTGGGTGGTAAATCTGTAATTTTTCAAATCTTCAATGAAAGTAACCATTTCCTATAAAAAAATATTGTAGATATGTAGAGTAGCAATGTTATTGCCTACTTAACTTGCATGATTACCGCTTTGAGCTAGCTTGATATGCATTTCAAGCATGAAATTAAATATTAGTTTTTTTTTGTGTAATAGATTATTTAGTTTTTTTTTTTGCTAGGAAAGATTATTTCATTGATCTATTAGAACCATTTGCATTTTCTATGAGTTTAAAATTTTTCTTTAACTCATTCTATCATGTAATTTTGAATCTTAGGATTTACAGGACAACTTTAAAACATATTCTTTTGCCTATAACCTTAGTTTCTTAGCTATGTTTAATGATTTAGAACAAGATAATAATTTGAAAAGGTGTGCCTATGCTTATTTTATTATTTCATAAAATATCATTCTATATTTTTGCATATTTTACAATGTTTCCACCATTTCTATAGTTTTTACTAAATTTCCATCTGATATTTCTGACATTTTTGACATGTTTCCTATATTTGGACAACCCGATATTTCCTCCGACACTGGCATTTTAACCTATATGTGGGCTACACAACAGGGGGTAACCCATCCCCCATACTCATAACCCCCAAACCCTGGTGACAGCGGGATTTGATGCCAAGTCTCTGCTACAACCAGGTGTATGCTTATCTCTGACCGAAGGGTATAATCTTGTAAGGACTTGCTTTGTAGAAGAAGAAATTCAGTCCCTTCAACTTAATTCAATATGTTTTATGAGTTTATTCCATCTCTCCAAAAGTTAAAACCAGTCTCAGATTTGGTGCTTTACTCTCTTGGAAATCTGTTTGGATTCTGGGTTATGAGGACTTCATGACCATGAGTGAGAAGGTGATTCTTGAAGTCTGTAACATTTTCCTTTGACCTAATGAGTGTGATATTTCAGTGTGGATGGCTGAATCCTTGGGTTGTTTCTCCTCAAAATTATTAATCTATCCTTGTCCTAATCTTGTTCTGTTAAAAGCTCTTTGCAATGGTCTTGATCTATTGAAAATTAAAGCCTTTTGTTGAAAATGGCTCTCATGATTATCATGGGGGCTTCAGGGGAGATGCAGGAGAAATGATAATGGTCTGTTCTAGACCAACGGGGGAATAGAATTCCCTAAAAGCTCTCTCCCTGTTACAGGGCCTAAAATTAGTTTTCTTGAGCTTGGTTTGGCTGCAAGTGGATGGACATTTTATGGTCATAATTGAGTGGATAGTCTAGCTAAAGGAGGGGGAAGCATTGTTTTGTGGTTTGCAAATGCCAGGATGACATGAATCTCTTTGATATATTTTTTTTTTGATAATAATCCCACATGGCCTTCTTCATGGCTTTGTTGATCCTGAGGAGGGAGTCCTCGGCTTCGAGGGATTGAATGTCCTTCTGTTGGTTCACGGACCTGATTACTAATGCCCCAAGCAATGCTACCAGGAATACGTTGATCAACGTTGTTTTTTGCTCATCTCATCAATAAGTCATCATCTGATCCACAAACTTGCTCTTTAGAAGAGGGCCTAGTGGAAAACCATGGAGGAAGGGAGGTTTCAGCAGACTGAGGCTCGAAGAAGATCTCTAAGGTTGGAAGCAAAGCAGTTCCTATTTGAAAGTTACAGGGTGAAAGGGAAGAAAGCTTTAAAAATCAGAGAAATTAATATGGCCATGGTGTTGCTGGTAGGGGTAGAAGCATTAGTGTGGTTTCAGACTTTCATCGAAGATGCTGTTCAGGTGAGTAGGAAGTCTGAAGACAAAGATTCAATTGAGATTAATGGCGGAAGGTATATAGCAGAAAGAAGGGAGAATCCTGAAGGAAGGTACGTGGTGCTTATGGAATTCTTTGGAGAAGGAAAAAAGCAGATGGTCTGCTTCCCTGAAGGTAAGAAGTGGAATGACTGGGAAGAAGTTTCAGGGATTTTGAAGGACTTCATTACATGGGAGAAAGCTAGAGAAGAAAGTAGAAGGGAGCTAGTAGAAGAAACACAGGGGGTTTATGGAGACTCTAAAGTGAGGGAGCAGAAGGAACTGCCAGTAGAGGTAACAGAAATGCAGCTTATGGCTCAAGCAACAAAGGACTGTAGAATGGTTTGCAACAAGCACAAGAATGACTGGGAGAAGAAATTTATTGTTACCTTAACAGCCCCACCGAAGGACTGGAAGAGAATTGCTGAAGAGCTACTAAAGAAGCTGAAGTTAAACAGTACGGTTATTTTAGCCCCCTTTGAAAAGTGTAAGGCCCTTCTAGAGTTAGTAGAAGAGAAAATGGAACTCCAGGCTATGTGTTGTCAATTGGAGTCAGCCTCTGTGACTGCTCAAAATGACTCCTCATTCTAACTCTAAGGATCTGCATGCGAGGGACAAAGTAATTGTTCGTTTTTGTCTCAATAGCTACCGTTTCATCTATGGATTTCAGATGTTTTTGTCTCAATAGCTACTTTGTGTAAAAAGCAAGGTTAGAAGGTTTTTTTTGTTAAAGACCTCCACTCAGCTGCAGTATGTTTGAGTAATGTAAAGTTGGAAGATATCCCGCGTTCGGTAAAGGTACTGGTTGATGGAATCATTTATTCAGCCTGGCTAGTAACAGCCATTGAAGCTGAGCTTTGGAGGGAGGGAAGAAGGGAAGAAGATGAGAAGGTAGAAGAAGAATGGCTACGTGGAAGAAGTCAATTGGATGCAGGAAAAGAGAAAGGAAATTACACTGAAATGACAAAGCAAAATCTGGGGAGAGGAAAAGGTGAATTAAAAGAGGAAGAAGTGTATAAGGCAAGGAAAGAAAGGGATGAGACATACGGCTGGTCTTATGCTGAGGTGCTGACCAATGGACCTAGACGTGTGAATCAGTCCCAATTTCAAATTTGAAAAGAAGGGGTGGGTCAGCCAGCTGGTGGATCAGGTTTGAATAGAACTGAGCCATTAGGGTCAAAGGCTATTAACCCATCACGTGGCACTTTAAGTAACCACATGATGGGTATTAAGAAAGATGGGCCTGGGTTGGTGAAACAGGGGCTGGGTAACTTAAAACTTACTCTGGGCCCAGCTGTTGGGTCAGAAGGAAAGCCCTTTGATGGATGATAATATTGGTCCATCTTCTTCCTCTTCGATCAAGTCAGTGACAAAGGAAACCGAAAATACCAGAGACGGTGTTCGGCAATGATCTGGGTACAGAGCAAAGGGAAAACTCTGGTTTCCCCTGAAAAGCGAAACCCAAAATTTAATAGATGTGGTGGTAAAGGTAAGGAGAAAGTGCAGGAACCAGACTCAGAATTTGAAGAGAGTTCCAGCGAGGACGAGTCAGACTTGAGTGAATACTCAAGCTTGGGCAGTATAGATCAAACAGTGCAGGTTGATATGCACAAAGCAGAGAGTTTCAACACTGAAGAACTATTCTTGGGAGAATAAAAGGAAAAATCGACCAATACGAAAGAAACAAAGGAATTTGGGCAGGCAGTACATGCAGTCGAAGTTGAGCAGATGACACCTTCCCCTAAATTAGAGAGACTACCTCCTGTTTCCAGCAAAAACAGGATGCACAGGAAGTGAGACAGGAGGAAACTTTGAAGATGAGTATGAAGGCAATAGAGAGGGGTGCATTTGAAAAGGTTTTAGGCGCAACCAGAATTGTTAATAATCCCACTCCCACTCAACACAGGCAATTTTCAGGGGCTGATTCTGATTTTCTGGGCTCCAAACAGGACTTCCCAACCACACTTGTCTTCGATCCTCATCCAATGTCTCCAAGTAGTGTGTCCTTTCAGTTTTGGCCACTGATATGTGTGCTTTGCCTGAAACAGGTACACCAGCTAACCAGCCTGATTGGTTAAGGAGAGAGGGTGGAGATGGGATTGTGAGATTAGAAGA